GCGAGATGTGCAGCAGATACAAGATTCTCGTGGCGCATTTGCTGCAATCCTGGCTGATGGATCAGTGGTTACCTGGGGTAATGCCAGTTATGGTGGCGACAGCAGCGCGATACACGATCAATTACAAGATGTGCAGCAGATGAAAGCTTCTCGTGGCGCATTTGCTGCAATCCCGGGTGATGGATCAGTGGTCACTTGGGGTGATGCCGACTGTGGTGGCGACAGCAGCGCGGTACACGATCAGCTGCGAGATGTGCAGCAGATCCAAGCTTCTCGTGGCGCATTTGCTGCAATCCTGGGTGATGGATCTGTGGTCACCTGGGGTGATGCCGCCTGTGGTGGCGACAGCAGTGCGGTACAGGATCAGCTGCGAGATGTGCAGCAGATACAAGATTGTCGTGGCGCAGTTGCCGCAATCCTGGGTGATGGATCTGTGGTCACCTGGGGTGATGCTGACTGTGGTGGCGACAGCCGTGTGGTGCAGGATCAGTTGCGAGATGTGCAGCTGATCCAATCTTCTTCAAAAGCGTTTGCTGCAATCCTGGGTGATGGATCTGTGGTCACCTGGGGTGATGCCGAATTTGGTGGCGACAGCAGCACGGTACAGCATCAGCTGCGCGATGTGTAGCAGATGTTTCCTACGAAAAATGAGTAGAAGCTTGTGAGTGGGTTTCAGTTCTCGTTAATTCGCCTTTATGTGCACAGGTGGTATGCAGTGTTTGCTTCTCTTTTCGTGTTCTGTGTTGAAAAGGTTTTTTGTTTAGTTTTTGGCGCTTAGACATTCGTGCATCGCGATGACCACAAGCGCTTGCACACCAAGCCCATTAGGCCCCCAACTACAGAGATCCCTGAAGGTGGCTTGGAGGGTCTGCGGACTTATGTAGTATAGAGTAAGTCAGGTCATAAGTACTGTATTTGATACCTATGTTGCCTGACTTATTGCCGTACTTGAAAACCGAGTCCTGCAAGTCCTTCACCCGCTGCAGCTCTGAACCCGAAGCCGTCGTGTTTTTTTCCAGGCCTCTCTCGACCCAAATTGGGAAGGGTTTTCTGTAAGCAGAGTTTCGGAGGTCCAAACCATGAACCCTAGATCTTGAACTCTTCTGGGTATTCCTGACCTGTAGCGGAACGGAAAAGAGGTCTCAAAATAAAAAAAAGAAAGAAGTCTTCTGGGCTTTGGCGTGGTCGTATGAGCTTTCACAATCAGGATGGCATCCCTTTAAAACTCCGCCAAGACTCTGCAAAATTGAGACCCATACAAATTGCATCCCTTGAAAAGGGACCCTAGTATAGAATCCTAAAGTACCTTTAAAGGGGACCCTATTATAGAACCCTATAGTACCCTTAGAGGGGACGCCATTATAGAACCCTACAGTACCTGTAAAGGCCGGCGCTCCTCGGATTTCGTTGGGGTGGTCGGGTGAACTTGATTCGAGACCTCGAGAGGCTCTAAAGGTGTCTGCAGATCTGCCCGACACCCCGCAGCCCTAAGCTTAACAAGACGAGCCAACACCCTTCAACTCTAGACCAAAATCCTAAATTTCGACAGCCGGCGCGGCTGACCAAGATATCTCTATGTAGTAGAGAAAAATATATACGTAAAACTATATATATATATATACATATACATATACACACATGTGCAATCGACTTCCGATTCCGAAGGCTGCAATGACTCCAACGGTATGGTCAGTGTACGACACGCTTGGACCGCAATCGTCCCCAAACTGGAAGCCCTCGGCCCAAGGTGTGTAGGATGTGCGTGTGATGCTGGTTGCAGGTTCAAGAGAGTTGCTACTGGAAAGAAAAGTACGTTAGTCGGGTTGTAACGTCGCATAACTACAGTTACTTTGCTCATAGCCCGACTTGCTAAGTCCCCTGACGTTTAGGCCTGAGGGTCTAGGGTTCCTTAGCGGTTCGGGTCAGGGATGCCGAGATCCACCCCCGGCAGACCACGCAAACTACGACAAGCTGCGCCTGGACTTGATTGGAGTACCCTGTGAGGGGTTCGCAAGGTTTCGGTTGCGGGTTTGCAGGTTTACGGTTCAACGTTTTGCCGTAAGGGCCTACAAGCTCTACTTGCGCACTTGCAGTTCTTGTCGTCCTATGTTATTGGCCAGAACATCTTCAGCAGTGCCTTTCCCACGACGGACGGCGTGGGCAACAGCCGCTCTCAGTGTAATCCTGGTAGTGATGGCAGCATACATGATAGTAGTAGTAGTAGTAGTAGTAGTAGTAGTAGTAGTAGTAGTAGTAGTAGTAGTAGTTATGACGTGCAATACCGATAGGACAACCTTAACAGTAGTGGCAACGGGAACCTCAGCGATTCTGGTGCCAAGCACAATAATGATCGTCAGAAAAGCCAAAGTGTTGAGTAAAGGCTTCTGTGTTTAAGAAGTCTGGGTCAAGGTTGTCACACTCGTGAAAAATCTAGAGTCCACATCTTGATCGATCTCTCGCATCTTCTTCTCCGTCGCACAGCATTTGGCGGTTCCAACAGGACTCCAGTTTGATCGATCCACTCCGGTTCCCAATGGCACGCCTTCCTGCTGCGGTGTTGGCCTGCGGGCTCCTCTTCGCCGCTGCCGTGCGTAAAGATGCCGCAGGATTGCAGAAGGAAGACTCGGACATGAGCAAGGTGGGCGGCCGAAGCCAGCCAGAGTGAGGCCGTCTCCTTGGAACCCCAGTACCCCAAGATTCGATCTTTTCCGAAGGAGCTGCACGGTCGCGCGTCGGCCTTGGAGCGCCACAAGCATTCACTTTGCTGCCAAACGCCGGACTTTGGCTACTGCCTCACGTCCGACTTGGAGACGCGGCCGAAAAGTCTTCCTGATTTGTAAGAAGCGAAGACCTCAGACCGCGTAGATCCGCAGCCCGATTCTGGAAGCTTGATTAAATTGAATATTAGTAATAATAACATCTAGTCGCAGTAGTAGCAGTCGAAGCAAATAGTACCTCGCATACCTTCTTTCATGACAGACTTGCGTGCCTGTCAGGCAGGCTGTTCTGGTCTCAAATTGATTGTGGACGACGTATCCTGCATTATTGAGAAAGCAGAACATTGCGACGACTAGACAGCCTCGAGTGAGCCAGTGGCATGCTCTATTGAGGAAGCAGAACATTGCGACGCGAGCCAGTGGCAGCAGGAAAAGTGCCGCTTCTGCGTCGTAGTGCAGACTTCATCACCGGAGGGCGACTCCGGATCTCGAGGTCAAAGTAGCCAAGGACTGGTACTAAAATGGGACTTAGGGTTGAGGGTTTAGGCGAATATCTGAGGTAACTATACTTATCAGACTTATCATTGCTCGTAATGCCTTTTAAGGTATGTATCACCTAACTTACTATGTCCCATGATCCTCCAAGTAGTCTGGTTCGAAGTCACGTATTTGGGCATTTGTACCGAGCGATAGTGGATGTAGGGACACCTTGATTGGAACCCCAATGCCCAAAACGTGAACCCCAAATCGATCCCTGCACGTCAGGATCGTCCAAAGTTCATTTGCCCCGGTCCTGAAGCCCCCTAAAGCCGAAATATCCGAAAGCCTACCCTAAACCCAAAGCCAAAAAGATCCGAAAGCCTGAGCCCCCCAAACCCCGAAGCCTACGCAGAACGCCGAAACAGCCTGACGAACCCGAGCCTCCACTTTTGAGTCCTGTTTACCAGGACCCCCCAATGGCCCTTTAATAGAGCCCTTATGGTCGGGGGGTGCTGGTAGGGGCCTTCACAATTAGAACAGGGTTTTGGGGTCCATTATACTATAATTATAACAAGGAACCACCAAGATAGTATTGTGAATTATCTAGGCCCCTACATTCGTCCCTAAACCCTAAACCCCAAACCCTAAACCGTACGAATCCGGCAGTCGCAAGGAACAGGTTCGTCCATAGCGCGTTCGCTTCTGCAGAGCTTTATCGTTTGGCCTGCGATCGTCCAGAAGGATGTGTGGAGAGGCGCCTTTGGTTGTTCGCTCTTTTGTGTGGGTACCCTAAACCCTAAACCCTAAAGGGTTTATAGAGCTTAGGGTAGAGGCGCATCTTGGGGGTGCAGGGCTGGAAGGGGAGGATATGGCTTGAGTTTGCCACTGTGTTTTCGGAAAGGCTTCGGTGTATTAGCTTCCTTTCAGGGTTGGAGTTTGCAGCAATTAGGATAAACTGGGGCTTCGGGCTTGGAAGCTTAAGGCTTAAGGTTTCTGAGATTAGGTGAGACTTCATGGGCTTATCAGTTCGGGGATTTGCGTCGTAACCATGACGGCGATGATGGTGTTGCTGCTGCTGCTGCTGCTGAAAGCAGAAGAAGGTTGATACTGAAAATGAGGAGCCTGATGTCATTGAAAAAGCTGAATTGAGAAAACGACGATGCGGATGATCTTGATCACGAAGAAATGCTGTGCAGAAGGATAAGAGGCAGGCTGCGATGACGATGACGAGCGGGATGAACCCTAAACCCTAAAACCCTAAAGCCCTAAAACCCTAAACCCTAAACCCTACTGGTGTGTTAAAAGGCCAACCTTCCTGACGCCAGAGACCACGGAGTAGTTTCGAAAGCCCCCAAGCAAGTTTCCGACAGTCCTGAAACGGGCTCAGCAAAAATTTCAACAGTACGGCTTAAGTAGGTTATCTTAGGGACTGAGTAGGTAACCTTTACCCGCTTTAGGGGCTTATATAATCCTACCGCAATTGAAAGGGTAAGTTTTCTTGGGCTAGGAATCTCAGCCCCTAAGTTACGCTCAGGACAGCGCCAATCAGGAAATATTGAAATCCCCTAAACCCGAAACCATAGGGGTAGTTCTCTAAATTAGGGTCCTTTTTTAGGTCCCCGATATAGGAGGGCACTCTTATTAAAAGGACCCTAAAAGGTACCATAATTTAGAAAACTACCCATAGAGCCCGGCGGAGGGCTCGCGAGTTGCTGGAGCTGGGTGCAGACCCGAACTGCTTCGTCCGCGAGGGCAACACCGCGATCTTAGCTTTAGCACCCCGGTCGTCGAGAGAGTTTAGGTGGGGGGGGCTGTCCCTGAGACTTCCCAAAGCTTAGCTGTCGAAGCTGTACATATTCTTTTCACAACTCATCAAGCGAGTTGAAATCCTCGGACCCTAAATCCCTACACTTTCAGCTCTGTACCCGAAAAACCCGAAGCCCCAGTAAGCATAAGAAAAAGCAGAGCCCAGGTGGGTGCGGACCCGACTCAGCCGAACCCAGCCGACCTACCGCTGCTGCAGCGGATGCTGTCACTGCCTCCCGGCTTCCTCCTAGGGTCCCTTCGCGGGTTTTGGATGTAGGGGATGTAGAAGAGTGGTTTGATTCAGGGTTTAGGCTTCTGGGCTTTGAGATTTGAGATGAGTGTTACAGGGCAGTGTAGGTCCTTGCTTCGGAGAGTTTCGGGAAGCATTAGGGCTTTAAGCATATCCATTGCTAGGTGGCTGAAGGGAAGCAAAGTGTCGTTAAGACGATACTTTCGGGGGCGTTTTGGGGGCGTTGACAAGGAAGTGGCGGGATTGTGGGGTATTGATAGGGATGTACAATGGTTTTTGCTGGGGGGGTTGGGGGGTTGGTATAGGAGGCTAAAATAAGCAGCCATGACTTGTTCCTGCGTTCTTTCGGGTAGGATTGCGGATATTGGAGACATTCCTGCTAGGGGCATTGTCTTGGCTACGAGGTGTAAAGTCTAGTGCTAGGAGTTTAGGGAGTGCAAGGACACTCCTGTGCGCCTAGGGTTCGGGTGTTAGGGACTAGAATGGCGGGGGTTTAGCGGTTACGTAAAGGATCATGGGACTTAGTAACTAGGGTTATAGATACGGTAACTACGCTTATAATTACTTATAACCCCCAATTAAGGTACCTATAACCGCACTAGTCCAGTGAACCTCCAAGTAGGCTTGAGGGAGTTGGGTTTAGAGTGTGGAAATTCCTCCTTTCAGTTCCAAGATGCTGTTGTACGGATGAGGTTTCAGGGATTAGGCTTACGACTTTGGGGATTTGTTCAGCATGTGTAAGGTGTTTTGCTTTGAAGGGGTGGCGGGTTGAGGTCGGGCGCCTACCATGGAGTTGAATCTTTGCTCTCACCTGAATGAATCCGGACACGCTCGTCTCTCGGATTCCAACATCCCTGCTAGAATTCTTGAGGAGCCCTCATGAAGCCTTTTCTGTAATTTGCTATGTCCATCTAGGATCCTAAACTTTTATGATGTAAAACCTGTCTGGATCCCTTATCTGAACCATTGACTCCAGCAAGCCTAACTCTTCCCGCTCAACAGCACAGGCTTGTAGCCAGCGGCGCTCGCATCAACCATGCTTCTTGACGTGGGGTTTACTCTAAGAGTTTGATTCGTGTTGAGGGTTAAGGGCCTCAAGTATAGGGTGTTGGGTAGGGCTTGGGGGTTTAGGTGTAGGTTTCAGGATCTATCTGTGGGATGTGTGTGTGAGCCTGGCTGGGTCTATGATGGCAAGTTCGTCGCTGGGACCGCCTCAGCAGGTCTACTGACTCCTGGGTAGTATTGGGGAGACCCCTTAAGAGGGGACCCTTCTTAAGCCTACTTATGGCTCTCTTAAAAGGGACCTTATCTAGAGGATATATATATATATATATATATCCCCAAGGGTCCCCCCAATCCAAACTCCTGCTGGCTGCTGTGATTTGTCAGAGTTTGGAGTCATAGGGCTGGCGGTCAGGAGCCAAATAGGCAGCTCTCTAGATCAGGGTCGCTGTTTAGGTCCCGAAAATAGCACGGCACCCTTCTAAAAGAGGATTTGAAGGGGACCCTAATTTAGAGAACTACCCAAATCGTAGACCTCCGACTGGAAACCTTCAGCACTAAGCCTGACAGCCAAAGTTGCAAGGCACCAGGGTTTGGGGTTTGGATGGTCTGGAGTTTGGGGATCTGTAATTGGTGTAATGAAGGGGCCTTAGTACATACAATAAACAGATGCTGGGTGGTATTGTAGTTTGGTTATGTTATGGGATATAAGGGAATACTCTTAGTAAGTATTCCGACCCCCATAAACTAATACACTGTTGCCTTGCAGTCGCATTTAGTTTACCAAAGTCCAAGGTGCAAGGTGACCTTCGGAGGCAACCCTGGCGCATCAAAGCCTAACCTTCATCCCCAAATATAGGGCCCTTAATGATTAGAATAGGGTTTGGAGGTATATGATATTATAATAAGGAGCCCCAAAACAGGATTGGTAATGATTTAGGCCCCTGTATTAGCCACAGCTCCATAGCTCGGTGCCTAAACACCCCCAGCACCTCGGAGCTCTTAAGCTCATTCCCCTCGCCCGCCCGAAGACTTCAATGATCCACCCTAAACCCTGGTGCCGGTGATTTCTTAAGTTAAACCCTTAACCCTAAACCCTAAAAAAGAAAGTAAACCCTAAACCCTAAGCCCAAAAAGTTGAATCCTAAACCCAAAAAGGTGAACTCGCACATGCAAACTGCCTTGGACCACGTGCAGCAGGCAGGGCGGGGCACAGGTGCGTAATGGATCAGAGGACTTGATTGTATAGTAGAGTTAGAAGTAAGATAGCCGTAGTGCTATGTACCCAATGAAGGTACTCATGCCGACTTATACCCAGCCTTATGTGCGACGTCCTCTGATCCGGCAAACAGAGTTCCGGGTTTTCGGAGATGGAGTGATCCTTCCTCCAAGCCCATAAGCCGGAGATGAGACAAGAGTCGAGAGCTTGGGGTTTAGGTTGTGGGGGGGGGGGGAGAGTTTGGGTTTGAGTTACAGGTTTAGGTGGCTAGCCGCTTATGCCCCCTGGTTGGGATATGCATGAACATATACGGCGAATATACGGCATCATTCAGGGGTGTAGGCGCCAAATATTCGCTTTTGGCCCGGAGCTCTCGCACGAGGCATCGTTTCAGAAATTGCATGACAGCACGACCGCATTTCTCAGTGTCCAGCCGGCATTGAAACTATTCCAAACCCTAAACCCTCGACCCGTAAGCCAAGCCTTTATCTTCTAATATAGGCGCCTAGAAAGTTGCCTAAACTATGTCGGGGATCCTTATTATACAGTATAATATACCCCCCAAACCCTATTCTAATTATTAAGGCTCCTGCATTACCCCTGTAGTCTTCATACAAGTACACGCGAATAGAATCCTCAACCATTGCCACCCTTCCCTTCCCGGAGTCCCTCCGAGTGCATTGCACTGCACAGCCCTTACAAAACTGTGCAGAGGCAGCTGGTGACAGCGCAGCACTCACCGAGCACCTTGGCTTCAAGAGGCCATTGCTTCGAAGTGAACGCCTAAACCCTAAACCTTGGTGGCAGACCCTTGGGTTGTTTCTTGCGACAGGTCGGGATTCAGAACTGCTCAGGGAGAAAGCAGCCCACCGTCTTCGTTTTACGGCTTTGGGGTAGAAGTTTTAAGGTTTGGGGTTCAGGGAAATGTCAGAGAGTGACTTCTGTGAGGACTGGCTCAACGGTGCCATAACCTATGTTTGGGGTTTGGGGATGTTACCTTTAAAAGTTTATGGTTAGGCATGTTCTTGTGCTCCTATTTGTTCTAGAAGAGCAAGTTCTGGCGAGAGTCGCCAGTGCGAGGTCCTCCGAAGTCCTTCGTGAGAGGCTTTTTGAAGTCTCAAAGTATAGTAGCGTGGAAATCATCCTCATGCCCTTAAGGTAACGTAAATGGGATCCCAGCGCTAATCATGCTACATCCACGTTCCAACTTTCTGGGGTTCATTATACAATTATGGTCGTGGGTGTGTTCTTCAAACGAGGGTGGGGTTGCATTGGGGGAAGCGGGATTCCTGAAACTGATATTCCATTCATCTTCTTACGCTCCCATAGAACCCATCGAGACAGAAGCCACAGCCGGCAAAAAGGTAAGTTCCCTAGGACCAAGATAGCGAACCCAAACCCTAAGTTCTAAAGCCCTAAGCCTTCGCAAGCCCAAAGGGTCCTAGGTACTGTTATGGGGGGTACTTTCCCAAATCATAATAACAATTCCTAATATAGAAACCCTACATTCTACCATATAGGTACTTTGGACCCTTTGGGAAGGTACCTGAAGCAGCATGGTGCCCTATCGTTCGAAGACTCTGCACCTGCAGCCGAGGACTTCCCCCACAGCCAAACTACTTAGGTTTAGGGTTTAGGATTCAGGGTTTAGGGTTTAGGGTTTAGGGTTTAGGGTTTAGGGTTGGCTGTAAACTCAACTTTT